TGCTCGGGGGGGCGTACTCGGGGGGGCACGACGGTGCCTCGAGGCTGCTCGGGGGGGCGTACTCGGGGGGGCACGACGGTGCCTCGAGGCTGCTGGGGGGTGGAGGGCGGCCTCGGGAGAGCCTGAACTTGACGCTATCTTACTTAGTTATATTTAGATGCTGATGCCATAATTTGTGAGTAGTAAGACTTAGGGCAGGCACAATGATTTAAGACTTAGTTAGCAAAGTCGTTTGCTAAACGAAGAAAATGAAAGCATTTGTTTTTATATTTTCAACTAACTCCTTAATGTTAATGTACCAAAATCAATTATTGTTTAACTTAGTCATACACTTGCAGTTCTACATTTTGCAACAATGGTTGTGTGTGTTTTACGGGTAGAAGAAAGAAAAAAGTATGTAGGTCAAATGAAGAAAATTACATGGTCTTAATCTCTTTCATATTCTCAATGTTGCTTTCAACATTACAACGGCTGGGATTGTAGGGATTCAATTTAATAGCATTTATAAGGTTGACAGTTTAGTCTGAATTATATGGATGTTTTAGGTCCAATTATTGCAAAAGCTTAGTCTTGGTTGGTTAAAGTACCATATGATGAAGCCTATACCTGTAGTCCATTGTTGAATACATAATTTCTTTTGTGAACGGCAAGCAGGTTGTTGCAGAAAATCCAATATCCCAAGCTAAAGCGGAATCTATAGAGTGGTGCTAATGCTTTCCATCTTTTGATGTCATGTACTGTTTTGTGATTAGTTGATTTGTCTTGGTTCTAATTCAATCATTTGTTTTTCTTCCTTATGCTAATAATTGCTCTTTGGGTATTTGAACAATCTGACCGTTTGTATTTAGGGACATTGTGGTTCTTGTTGGGCTTGTTGTGGTGCTGCTGAGTCGTTGTCTGATTGTTTCTGTATTCATATTGGCTGGGTAAATTCATTCCTTCGTGCAAAAACTTGCAAGTTTATTCTAGTTATGGTCGCTAATGATTCAATTTTATGTGTGAGGCAGAATATCTATGTCAGCAAATGATATCGTAGCATGCTGTGGTGGTCACTGAAGAGGTCATACTGTTTTGTTTTATACACTTCTTGTACTTCTGAGGAAATACATCTTTTCTATATATTGTAGGATTTTTATACCCATCTTTAAAAAGATAAAATTATTATGCTCGACTAATAAAATTTTCCTGTCAGTGTGACCCTTTAGTTTGATATTATATGATATGAATCCCAAGCAACAATTTTAGTCGAATGATCGCTTAATTTCTCAGTCTGGATTGTGCATGAATGTATTGCTTGTCTTGTGATGTTCTTCTCAAACATAAAATCAGAAGAGGAACAAACGAGTGTGGCAAGAAGAAGTGCTTCAGCCAAAACCCTGAACGTGGAACTTGATGTCTGTGATATGTGATTGCTGATTCTTCAAGTAAACACTAATTAGGATCAAGTTTCTGAAGATTTGGGGAATAATAACATTTTAAAGCTTCATATTCTCCCCCTCCTAAGTTATCCGCAATCTTAATAAGTACTCTGTCAATCTTGACAAAGTTAAAACATTAGTATCATCTATCGTATACTACTTCTCCATTTCATGTACACGCTTAAATGAACTCATGTAATCTTCTAATCTGTTCTTGTCAGTGCAGATTGTCCGAGGAAGTTGTGGAAACATAACACGAGCTCAATGAATGAGCTTAGAAAGCACATATCCGCACAGGGGATTCTTGTTCAAAGATCTCATCATTGTTGTATGCAGAGAATTGGATGAATGGAGCCGAACTGGTGGTGATGTCCAAGAAGCTAATGAATGACATGGAAGATGAAAACATTATAGGACATTAGAACGACAACAACTCGTCTTGCTTTAGACAAAATGTCTCTAAAGTCTAAAAGAAGGAAGCAATGGACTCGCGAAGAAGCATACAAGTGTCCCAAATCAAGGGGTGTGTCCGGAGGATTTAAGGCGTTGGATCGAACCCTAGCCTGATAGTTGTAGTTTGGCTAAGCCAACTTAGTACACAGTGAGACCATAAGAAGAAATTAGACAGGCAAATTGTAGTAGCTGATTGAGAAGGATGCTTTAGTATTTTTCTCAAAATTATATTAATGGAATCTAACTCCATGTACCTGTATGAGTTCGGTCACATTGTCAGTTCCAAGTCCAGATTATCGTCAAGGGACAATCAAAAAATTACACTGAATTTCTTGTTGTTTGTTGTTGATACAATCATTAAGATTACCTGATATGAAATAGATTGTTAATATAATTTCATAACTAGTACTGTACTATATTTTATTTTTATATACAAAATATTTTTAGATATTTTATTTCCATCTTTGGATTTATGAAATCAAAGTGAGAGTTAATAAGTGCTTTCAGTATAAAATTCAACCAGAATAACATCAGTTTAGTAAAAGACAAAATTAATCAATGTACGAATAGTGATATAATTTTATATGACGTGTATCGTAATATAACATGAAAAATCGATCTCATAAGAAAATATAGTATTATAGAAAAGTTTGACTATATATTTTTGTATATAATAACGTGGACAAAATGACTTTGACTTTAAAACAACATGACACAAAACATTATTTTTTTTCCAAGAAAATTAAGATTGATGATAAGATTTAAATCCACCAATAATTGAGGGATGAGTGGCTGGATTAGTTAGCCTGTCCTTTTTTGCTTTCACAACACAAATTGTGTAAGTCAATGTTTTTATTTCATATTTCATAAATATAATATTATTAATCATTTCAAGAGCAACTTCAAAAATTTTACAAGTTCAAATCTCTTAGACAGAAATACAAAATTTCGATTTTTATAAATTATTTGTAACACAAGCTCAATCAGAAGACATGGAGGATCAGACAGAAGTACGAAATTCCGATTTAAAAGAAGATGAAGTAGCTATAGTTATGGTTCCATTTCCAGGACAAGGCCATCTTAATCAACTTCTTCAACTTGCTTGTTTAATCACCTCATCATATGATGATCTTCCAGTCTATTATGTTGGCTCAGCTACACATAATCTTCAAGCTCGTGTTCGAGCCAATGCGTTAAATCCTTCAGACATAGCCAAAATCATTTCCATGATATCCCAACACCTGATTTTACCTCTCCTGCACCTGATCCTAATGCATCGAGCAAATTTCCATCACATCTTGAGCCATCATGGGATGCTTGTATGCTTCTTCGCGAGCCTATTGCTTCCTTCTCACGTGATATTTCCTCAAAATCAAGACGATTCGTTGTTGTTCATGATTCTTTAATGTCCTATAACGTTCAGGATGTTTCATCCTTGCACAACGCGGAATCCTATATATTTAATTGCATTTCTGTGTTCACTTTCTACTGTATTATATGTTTGTCTGTTGGAATGTCTGTTCAACTTGAAGAGGAATTGCTTAAAAAGTTACCTTCCCTTGATGGAATTATGACGGATAAAATCAGAGATCGCGGAGCTTCTCAGAGTCCATATTTAGATATTAGATCAGGTGATATACATAATACAAGCAAAGTGATTGAAGGTAAGTTTCTTGATTTGTTAGCACAAGTAGCAAGTGATCAGAAGAAGAAAAATTGGGCAATTGGACCACTTTTGCCTACTAAAATAGATCGTATATCGAATAAGGAGGATATATGTTTGGATTGGCTTAACAAACAACCTCCAAGATCAGTACTTTATGTGTCTTTTGGAACAACAACTTCATTTTCTGATAGGGAAATCAAGGAGCTCGCGATGGGATTAGAGCAGAGCAAACAGAGGTTTATATGGGTGTTAAGGGACGCGGATAGAGGAGATATCTTTACTGAGGAAGCTAGGAGAGTTGAGTTGCCTGAAGGGTTTGAGGAAAGAGTAAAAGGGGTCGGGTTAGTGGTAAGAGAATGGGCACCACAACCAGAAATCTTGGCTCATTCGTCTACAGGCGGGTTCATGAGTCATTGTGGATGGAATTCTTGTATAGAGAGTATTACTATGGGGGTGCCTATAGCTGCTTGGCCTATGCACTCTGATCAACCAATGACTGGTTTCTTGGTGACGGACGTGTTAAAAATAGGCCTGATTGTGAGGGAGTGGGAGAAACGCGAGGAGCTGGTGAATGCATCCACTATTGAGGACGTCGTGAGGAAGTTGATGGCATCAGAAGAAGGCAATGTGATTAGAAAAAGAGCAGAAGAATTGGGAGAAGCTGTAAGACAGTCCACAGAGAAAGGGGGAGCTTCTCGAATAGAGTTGGATTCTTTCATCGCGCATATCACAAGATAGACTTAATCTT